ACAAAGCTCTCCCGACAAAGAGCCATCCAGTCATTAATAGATAGATAGATAGATATGATTCACACACACACACACACACAGATATAGTATCCTAGATTGGAAAGGGGCCCCTAAAGAAGGTCAATGATATGTTGCATGTTCCAGAGTGGGCAAACCAGGCACTCTCCACATCAACACTGACAAAGAAACAACAAGAAATACCGTTTACTCACAAGCAGAAAGGCATTACGTATATTAGAAACCAATACTTTCTCATTACTTTATTTTCCACATCAACAGACTGGGCCACAGCAACGCCTGGCAGGGGACGGCTAGTAAATAATAAATAAGCAGGCACCAGGCTTGTGTTTTTTTCACAGAGCGGTTTTATTTCATGTGCCATTTGGCTCACTGGAAGTAGGAAGTGGACAGGTCTCTTAAGTTTCCTAGGAAGCTTCCTTCTCCGTCCCGCCTGCACGTGTATCGTTCTCTTACCCAACAGTCAGCCCCCCAGAACAGTCTCAGAATCCAGTTGGAAGCACAGAAGCAATGGCGGGCAGAGGAATAGCCGGGACGCAAAGACAACCAAGCGAGACGGAGGTTTTCTAGGAGGCATCTTCCATCTCCACCGTGTCCTGTAACTGCTGGACCATCTTCTCTTCCAACTGCTTGGCTTTGCCTTTGGAAACGACAAGAAAGGAAGGTTAAAGATGCCGTTCTCCAATGTAAACAATCTCCAGCGCTTCTCATACAAGTTCCCGGGAAAACCGGGAAACAGGTACAAGGATCCCAGGAACTCTCTCTCTCGCTATCTATATGTCTATATAAATAAAAATGTAATGTTCGTTTGTGGGATTCACAGAACTCAAAAACCACTGGGCGAATTGACACCAAATTTGGACACAAGACACCCAACAACCCAATATACGTCCTTCACTCAAAAAAACTGATTTTGTCATTTGGGAGTTGTAGTTGCTGGGATTTATAGTTTACCTACAATCAAAGAGCATTCTGAACCTCACCAACGATGGAATTGAACCAAACTTGGCACACAGTTCTCCCATGACCAACAGAAAATACTGGAAGGGTTTGGTGGGCAGTGTCCTTTGGTTTTGGAGTTGTAGTTCACCTACATCCAGAGATCACTGTGGACTCAAACAAGGATGGATCTGGACCAAACTCGACACGAATACTCAATATACCCAAATGTGAACACTGTTTGAGTTTAGGCAAAATAGAATCTTGACATTTGGGAGTTGCAGTTGCTGGGATTTATAGTTCACCGACAATCAAAGAGCATTCTGAACACCAACAATGATAGAATCGGGCCAAACTTCCCACACGGAACCCCCACGACCAACAAAAAATCTGTGTTTTCTAATTGTCTTTGGCAACTCCTCTGACACCCCCTCGTGACCCCCCCCCAGAGGTCCCGACCCCCAGGTTGAGAAACACTGCTATAAAACATATTGCTCAATGCTTTTCCTTCCCCGAATGCAATCAGACCAAGTACCCGAACGCATCCACCCTTACGTCCCACTCGTAACCTAAGATCATCTGGGGAGGCCCTGCTCTCGCTCCCGTCAACAGCGGAGACGAGAGACAGGGCCTTCTTGGCTGTGGCCCCCCGCTTATGGAACACACTCCCAAATGAGGTGAGATCTGCTCCCTCCCTCCTGGCTTTTAGAAAAAATTAAAATCATGATTTTGGGAGCAGGCCTTCGGGCAGTAGAAGCATTTTGAAAAGACGACAACTGGAATGGCGATTTGAAATGTGGGCCACAGCAACGCGTGGCAGGGAACGGCTAGTAAATACATAAATACAGACCCAATATGGCCAGCTTTGAATACCGGCAGAGTTCGGGGGTGCCTGACCTTATATTCTGGGAATTGTAGTTCACCCACATCCAGAGAGCACTGAACACAGCCAACAACAGATCTGGATCAAACTTGGCACTCAGACCCAGCATGGGGCTTTTTTTTTTTGGGGGGGGGGGGGGTAATTAACCCACGATTTGTGGGAATTGCAGTTCACCCACATCCTTATACGTTTTCTAATGGGAGCATTCATAAAAATAAGAGCAGGGAGTGCCTTTTTCTAATACCATGATGGCGAACCTATGGCACGCGTGTCAGCACTGACACGCCTGGCCATTTTCTATGACACGCGGCCACATGCGGCTGCCTACAGAGAAGGATAGGGCTGCATCAGGGGCGGCTGAAGCAACTTACGCATTTGCCAAATCCCTGGCTGTGGGCTGCTTGCTTGCTCGCTTCTCCGAGCGGGCGAAAGAGAGGGAAAGGAGAGAGAAAAACAGTGTGCTGTCTCTTTAAGGCAGGAGCGCATCTCGGGGGAAAGAATCCTTCAGCCCCGCCCCTCGGCTGCCAATCACCCGGCGGCGCCTTTGATCTGGTGGCCGCGTTTGGCCGAGGGAGGCAGGCGCGCGCTTGGTTGCTGGGGTCTTTTTTTCTCCTCAGCTAAACCTCTCTGTTCCAGGAGCATTCTCTCCTGACGTTTCTCTCATATCTTATGGCAGGCATCCTCTGAAGTTTGTTGGAAACTAGGCAAGTGGGGTTTATATGCCTGTGAAATAACGTCCAGGGTGGGAGAAAGAACCCTTGTCTGTTGGAGGAAATTGTGAATGTTGCCATTGGCCAGTTTGATTAGCGTTGAATGGCTTTGCAGCTTCAAAGCCTGGCTGTGGAAGGTCCAGGGTGGGAGAAAGAACTCTTGTTTGTTGGAGGCAAGTGCGAATGTTGCCATTGGCCAGCTTGACTAGCATTGAATGGCCTTGCAGATTCAAAGTCTGGCTCATTCCTGCTCAGGGGAATCCTTTGTTAGGAGGTGTTAGCTGGGCTTGACTGTTTCTTGTCTGGAATTTCCCTGTTTTTTAGGGTTTATATATCTGTGGAATAGCATCCAGGGTGAGAGAAAGAACTGTTGTCTGTTGGAGGCAAATGTGAATGTTGCAATTGACCATTTTGATTAGCCTTGAATGGCCTGGCAGCTTCAAAGTCTGGCTCCTTCCTGCTCAGGGGAATCCTTTGTTGTGGGGTGTTAGCTGGGTCTGACTGATTCTTGTCTGGAATTCCTCTGTTTCCTGAGTGTTGCTATTTCTTTACTGTCCTAATTTTAGAGTTTTTAAAATACTGGTAGCCAGATTTTGTTCATTTTCATGGTTTCCTCCTTTCTGTCGAAATTGTCCAGATGCTTGTGGATTTCAAGGGCTTCTCTGTGTAGTCTGACATGGCTTTACTCACCATTTTTCCCTCCACGTACTTTTGTGAGACCTTATTCTCAGTGTTAAATAATATCAAAACCATCAAAGAAACAGATTGACAGATGATGTTAGTAGCACTTGCTTGGGCTTGAAGTGTACAAAATACAAACCTTCAATTGAACATTTAGTCAATGAAATTCAGCAACAAAAAAGTCACTAATAGGTAGCTTAGTTAAAGAATTTATCCTCCCATTATGCATTTTTGTTATTTAAACTATAAATATTGCAAAATTATGGGGCTTTTTCTCAAAGTGGCACCCCACCTGAATTATGCTCTTTTTTTTTGGCGGATTTTGACACACCAATCTGAAAAGGTTGCCCATCACTGTTCTAATATATAGGGTTACAAATGACCTAACCCAGGCATCACGGAGTACCTAAATGCATCCTCCCCACAAAGTCTACCTACCTGCATGTGGAGCCCGGATGAGGTGGATGTTCTGCTTGACCTCCTTGATGTCCTGGGCCTTCTGCAGCTCTTTGCCCTTCTTTAACCTGAAGTGAGGGGAGAAAAGGAAGAAGAAGAGGACATGCTCAACTACCCATTAAGACAGTGGTTCTCAACGTTCCTAATGCCGCGACCCCTTAGTACAGGTCCTCATGTGGTGGTGACCCCCAACCATAACGTTATTTTCGTTGCTACTTCATAACTGTAATTTTGCTACTGTTATGAATCGTCATGTAAATATCTGATCTGCAGGATGGATTCTCATTCATTGGACCAAATTTGACACAAATACCCGATACGCCCAAAATTTGAATACTGGTAGGGTTGGGATGGGAGGATTGATTTTGTCATTTGGGAGTTGTAGTTGCTGGGATTTATAGTTCACCTACATTCAATCTTGAAAGATGAGGCTGTCAAGGTGATGCATGCCATTTGCCAGCAAATATGGAAAACACAAGAATGGCCATCAGACTGGAAAAAATCAACTTATATCCCCATACCAAAAAAGGGAAATGCGAAAGACTGCTCAAACTTCCGTACAGTGGCCCTTATTTCTCATCATGCCAGGAAGGGAATGCTCAAGATCCTGCAAGGAAGAAGACTCCAGCAAGACATGGAGCGAGAGTTGCCAGATGTTCAAGCTGGGTTTAGAAAAGGCAGAGGAACCAGAGACCAGATTGCCAATATCCGGATGCTGGAGAATGGAGAAAGGCAGGGAGTTTCAGAAAAACATCTACTTCTGCTTCATTGACTATTCTAAAGCCTTTGACTGTGTGGATCATAATAAATTGTGGCAAGTTCTTGGTGGGATGGGCATCCCAAGCCCCCTTCCCTCTCTCCTGAGGAATCTGTACAAGGACCAAGGAGCAACAGTCAGAACTGACCACGGAACAACAGACGGGTTCAAGATTGGGAAAGGCGTACGGCAAGGCTGCATCCTCTCACCCAACCTTTTTAACTTGTATGCAGAACACGTCATGCGAGGATGTGCGGGGCTGGAGAATGCAAAGCTGGGGTGAAAATGGCTGGAAGGAACATTAACAACCTCAGATATGCAGATGACACCACTCTGATGGCCGAAAGCGAGGAGGAGCTGAGGAGACTTCTAATCAAGGTGAAAGAAGAAAGCGCAAAAGCCGGGTTGCAGCTAAACATAAAAAAACCCAAGATTATGGCAACAAGAATGATTGACAACTGGGAAATAGAGGGGAAAATGTGGAGGACGTGACAGACTTTGTATTTCTAGGCGCAAAGATTACTGCAGATGCAGACTGTGGCCAGGAAATCAGAACACGCTTACTTCTTGGGAGGAGAGCAATGTCCAGTCTCGATAAAATAGTAAAGAGTAGAGACATCAGACTGGCAACAAAGATCTGCCTAGTCAAAGCCATGGTCTTCCCTGTAGTCACTACGGATGTGAGAGCTGGACCTTAGGGAAGGCTGAGCGAAGGAAGATCGATGCTTTTGAGCTGTGGTGTTGGAGGAAAGTCTGAGAGTGCCTTGGACTGCGAGAAGATCCAACCAGTCCATCCTCCAGGAAAGAAAGCCCGGCTGCTCACTGGAGGGAAGGAGACTAGAGACAAAGTGGAAGTCTTTGGCCACATCATGAGGAGACAGGAAAGCCTAGAGAAGACAATGATGCTGGGGAAAGTGGAAGGCAAAAGGAAGAGGGGCCGACCAAGGGCAAGATGGATGGATGGCATCCTTGAAGTGACTGGACTGACCTTGAAGGAGCTGGGGGTGGTGACGGCCGACAGGGAGCTCTGGCGTGGGCTGGTCCATGAGGTCACGAAGAGTCGGAGACGAATGAACAAATGAACAACAACAACACATTCAAAGAGCATTCTGAACTACACCAATGATGGAATTGAACCAAACTTGGCACACAGAACTCCCATAAAAAGGTAAAGGTAAAGGTAGTCCCCTGACATTAAGTCCAGTCATGTCTGACTCTGGGGTGTGGTGCTCATCTCCATTTCTAAGCCGAAGAGCTAGCGTTGTCCGTAGACACCTCCAAGGTCATGTGGCCAGCATGACCGCATGGAGCGCCGTTACCTTCCCACCTATTGATCTACTCACATTTGCATGTTTTCAAACTGCTAGGTTGGCAGAAGCTAGGGCTGACAGTGGAAGCTCACGCTGCTCCCTGGAATTGAACCTGCGACCTTTTGGTCAACAAACTCAACAGCTCAGTGCTTTAAAACACTGCGCCACCGGGAGGCCCCAGAACTCCCATGACCAACAGAAAATACTGGAAGGGTTTGGTGGGCATTGACCTTGGGTTTTGGAGTTGTAGTTCGCTTACATCCAGAGAGCACTGTGGACTCTGGATCAAACTTGGCACTAATATTCAATATGCCCAAATGTGAACACTGTCAATAGACCTTGACCTTTGGGAGTTGTAGTTGCTGGGATTTATAGTTCACCTACATTCAAAGAGCATTCTGAACTACACCAACAATGGACTTGAAACAAACTTGGCACACAGAACTCCCATAACCAACAGAAAATACTGGAAGGGTTTGGTGAGCATTGACCTTGGGGTTTATAGTTGTAGTTTGCTTACATCCAGAGAGCACTGTGGACTCTGGATCAAACTTGGCACGAATATTCAATATGCCCAAATGTGAACACTGGTGGAGTTTGGAGAAAATAGAATCTTGGCATTTGGGAGTTGTAATTGCTGGGATATATAGTTCATCTACATTCAAAGAGCATTCTGAACCCCACCAATGATGGAATTGAACCAAATTTGGCACACAGTTCTCCCAAGACCAACAGAAAATACTGGAAGGGTTTGGTGGGCAGTGTTTTTTGGTTTTGGAGTTGTAGTTCACCTACATCCAGAGATCACTGTGGGCTCAAACAATGATGGATCTGGATCAAACTTGGCACGAATATTCAATATGCCCAAACGTGAACACTGGTGAAGTTCGGGGAAAATAGACCTTGACATTTGGGAGTTGTAGTTGCTGGGATTTATAGTTCATCTACATTCAAAGAGCATTCTGAACTACACCAACAATGGACTTGAAACAAACTTGGCACACAGAACTCCCATGACCAACAGAAAATACTGGAAGGGTTTAGTGGGCATTGACCTTGGGTTTTAGAGTTGTAGTTCGCTTACATCCAGAGAGCACTGAAGACTCAAACAATGATGGATCTGGACCAAACTTGGCACGAATATTCAATATGCCCAAATGTGAACACTTGTGAAGTTCGGGGAAAATAGACCTTGACATTTCAGAGCTGTAGTTGCTGGGATTTATAGTTCACCTACAATCACAGAACATTCTGAACCCCACCAATGATGGAATTGAATCAAACTTGGCACACAGTTCTCCCAAGACCAACAGAAAATACTGGAAGGGTTTGGTGGGCATTGCCCTTTGGTTTTGGAGTTGTAGTTCACCTACATACAGAGATCACTGTGGACTCAAACAATGATGGATCTGGACCAAACTTGGAATGAATACTCAGTGTGCCCAAATGTGAACACGGTTTGGGGAAAATAGAATCTTGACATTTGGGAGTTGTAGTTGCTGGGATTTATAGTTCACCTACAATCACAGAGCATTCCGAACCCCACCAAAGATAGAATTGGGCCAAACCTCCCACACAGAACCCCCATGTGGGCCACAGCAATGCGTGGTAGGGGATGGCTAATAATGATAATAATAATAATGGTAATATCATCATCATTATTTATACCCCACCACCATCTCTCCGAAGGGGACTCAGGGCGGCTAAAATAAGGCCAATGTCAGATATATTGAAATTTATGATAGCCGCTACTCATGCCAAATCGTCAGAGGTTGGAAAGATAAAACAAGGTGGGACCTGAAAACCTGGTGGTCTTATCTTTCTGAATATTTATTTAATGACTTCCTCTATGAAAAGAAAAATAAATATTTGACTTTTCAGTCAAGACAAGATTGGTATGGGAAACGGTCTTGTTTAATCGACAAAACGGAAGGAAAAGATAGGTACAGAACTTTAAATCAGGCCTTCCAGACAATTAAATCAATGTATTGACTTAAGTAAACCCAGATGGGGGTGGGAGGGAGGCGGAAAGAGGGTGGTAAGGGTGGGTGGGTGGTAAGGGAGGGTGGGTGGTAAGGGAGGGTGGGTGGTAAGGGAGGGTGGGTGGATGGTAAGGGAGGGTGGTAAGGGTGGGAGGGTGGGTGGGTGGTGTGGGTGGGTGGTAAGGGTAGGTGGTAAGGGTGGGTGGGTGGGTGGTAAGGGTTGGTGGGTGGGTTTAAAGGGGTAAATATTCGAGATATACGGCAAAGGGTAGCACAATTGGAACCTGTATCCTAGCCATAAAAATTGTAAACAGTTTTTGATATTATCTTTTAGATGGCTAAAAGCTCCACTGGCTGCCGATCCAATTCCGAGCATAATTCAAAGTGCTGGTTTTGACCTACAAAACCCTATACGGTTCCGGCCCAGTGTATCTGTCCGAATGTATCTGTCCGAACGGATCTCCCTCTACGTCCCACCTCGGAACCTAAGATCTTCTGGGGAGGCCCTGCTCTCGACCCCGCCTCTATCACAAGTGAGATTGACGGGGACGAGGAGCAGGGCCTTCTCGGTGGTGGCCCCCCACCTGTGGAACTCACTCCCGGGGAGATTAGATCGGCAACGTCCCTTCTTTCATTTAGGAAAAAGTTGAAAACCTGGATATGGGACCAGGCATTTGGACATCATGGCAGCTAAAGAAAGACCTGATGACGAGCTGGAATTTGACGAGACGGAATGGATTTACGAAACTCCGAACGCTGAGCTCAGGATTAGTCTACTACTGTGTTACTGTATTGTTGTGTAGTGATGTTTTTAAATTTTTAATGTGTAATTGTTTAATTTGCTTATATATGTATGTATATGTGACAAAGGCATCGAATTGTGCCTTCCTCTGTAAGCCGCCCTGAGTCCCCCCCGGGGGTGAGAAGGGCGGGGTAAAAGTGACGGAAATAAATAATAAATAAATAAGGTTCGTGTTGTATTATTGTGTTATCTGTATGAAGAAATTAATAAAAAAAGGAAAATTTTAGACCAAGCCCAAAAATAATACAACAAAATAAGATACAAATTAGCACAGATGTCACGGGGAGCATCGATCCGGTTCCCACTGTTTTCAGAGATGGCAAAGAATCCTAATGACTGAATTCCAGGACTGGGATTTTTGCTTCGAGCGGAATCTTTTCCCCTTTGAGAAGCAGCCCTTGGCCCCATTTCCAATGCAAAGCCCTCCCAAAATGCCCCATTATTATTATTATTATTATTATTATTATTATTATTATTATTATTGTTAATAACCCACTTTATCTCTACCGAAGAAGACTCAAAGCGGCTTTACATAAAAGCATTGGCATACAATTTAAAATATACAAATACGCAAACACTAAAACATAACCAGTATTAAGAACCAGTCGTACCTGTTCAGGATGAACTTGGCTTGACGCTTCTGCTTGATCTCCTCCACTCTCTTCATCGCCTCCACTAGAAGGAGAGAAAACATTGTCGTCACATTCAAATAAGTCGCGGTTTAGCCCTCCCTCCCTTCCTCGAGTCCGGTTGTGATGTATTGGCCTCTTTAAAAGCTTATTAATATTAATATACACTGGGCCATAATAGCGTTGAATGATTAAAAACACATTGCCAGAAAGAAGAGAAAGATTACGACAAATGGACAATTAGGTCACCTTTGAATAAATACACATTGCTTGTTAAGGGCTTTGAGAGGAGAAAATATTGTAAGATTCATATCCCAGTGTAGGCTCGGGAAGTTTCCTTTCATCTCCTTGGTTCAACAAGGAGTTGGCAGCAATGAAGCGAAGGAAGAGGAGCTTAGAGGGCGTGTGGCGTTCGGATCCGAATGAGTCAAATCGAACACAGCTTGTGGCCTTCCTAAGAGCATACACCGCAGCAATAAAGGCCGCAAAGAAATCTTTATTTGCGGCCAAGATTGCGTCCGCAAAAAACCGTCTAGCGGAGCTGTTTCGAGTTGTCAGAGGTCTGTTAAATTCCACCGTTTTGGATGGGAACCCTGACAACTCGACAGCCTGCTGCTGTTGGGGTTCAGCCTGCGTGTGAACCTGATTCTCTGATTGTATTTCCTGATGCAACTGAACAGGCTACTGAACATGAATTTGTCCCTGATGGTTTGGAAACTGTTGATTCTGAGGTCGGTGGTTTGGAAAGTGAAACTACGCATCCTGATGGGAATGTTTCTGAATCAAGCAGTGATAGCTCTCCAGAGGAGCTAGCACCTGCCTTTTTAAAATGAGGATAGAAAAGGACAGATTTGGAAAAACAGGAGTGAATCGCAGAGTCTGTGAAGGTCAACCAGATTAAAGGAAAAGGAGGCACAGGCTTCAAAGCCTGGAGGCGTGTCCCGAAACAGTTTCTTTAGTTTTAAGTGTCTCTCCCCGGGCTCTCTCATTAGATCAAGCATCGTTTAGACTGAGGCATTACCTTGGTAGATTTCCCGGTTCCCATGGCCTGCATTCCCAGAGGCTTCTAGTTTCCAAGTACAGTTAGTGAGATGCTAACAAGTTCCAGGTTTTTCTAGTGTTGCTTTTAGAATGTTGATCTAGTTCATAGATATTCCTGACTGCTGAATTTTACTGTGGCTTTTTGGACTTTGTATTTTCCTCTATTTTGTAACCATTTTTTATCAATAAAAAAGGATTGTTTTTTCCTACAGTCCAGTGTGGTGGATTAATATCTTATGGTCTTGTTTCCTGATCTGGGTTGCAACAGCTACGAAGCATTTGCTTGGTTCTTTGTGGACAAAGTCGCTTTGATCCGTTCTGATCTGGACACCATGTTAACGGCAGTCTCTGAGGATGTAACTGGAGTGTCTGCTTGTCCGATTTTAATGGATTCATTACAATTAGTGAAACCCGAGGATGTGGACAAGATACTCGGAGGAATGAGGCCTACCACATGCCTCCTAGACCCCTGCCCATCCTGGCTTCTAAAGGAAGCCAGAGGGGGATTGGCCGAGTGGGTGAAGGTGGTGGTTGATGCCTCCCTTCGGGAAGGCAAGATTCCAGCCAGCTTAAAACAGGCTGTTATAAAACCGCTGTTGAAAAAACCATCACTGGACCCCACTCAATTAGTCAACAATCGGCCAGTATTCAATCTCCCCTACTTGGGCAAAGTAGTGGAACGTATGGTGGCTTCGCAACTCCAGGGGTTCCTGGTAGACACTGATTATCTAGATACGGCACAGTCTGGCTTTAGGCCGGGACATGGAACGGAGACAGCCTTGGTCGCCTTAGTAGATGATCTACGCCGGGAGCTCGACAGGGGGAGTGTATTCCTGTTAGTTCTGCTGGACCTCTCAGCGGCCTTCTATACCGTTGACCATGGTATCCTTCTGAGACGCCTCACAGAAATGGGACTCGGAGGTACTGCTTTGCAGTGGCTCCGGTCCTTCCTGGAGGGACCGTCCCAGAAGGTGTTACTGGGTGACACCTGTTTGGCTCCACAACCATTGTCTTGTGGAGTCCCTCAGGGCTCAGTACTGTCCCCAATGTTATCTAACATCTACATGAAGCCGCTGGGGGAGATCATCCGGAGTTACGGACTAAGGTGTTATCTGTACGCAGCTGACGTCCAACTCTGTCACTCTTTCCCACCTGTTACTAAGGAGGCTGTTCAGACCTTGAACCGGTGCTTGGCCACTGTGTCGGACTGGATGAGGGCGAACAAATTGAAATTGAATCCAGACAAGACAGAGGTCAAAACGCTGAACAGGGCATAGGGTTACAGCCTGTGTTAGACGGGGTCCCACTCCCCCTGAAGACGCAGGTTCGCAGCTTGGGAGTGATCCTGGATTCATCGCTGAGCCTGGAACCTCAGGTCTCAACGGTGGCCAGGGGAGCTTTTGCACAATTAAAGCTTGTACGCCAGTTACGCCCGTACCTTGGGAAGTCTGACTTGGCCACAGTGGTCCACGCTCTGGTTACATCCCGAATAGATTACTGCAATGCACTCTACCTGGGGTTGCCTTTGAAGACTGTTCGGAAACTCCAACTAGTCCAACGGGCAGCAGCCAGATTACTCACCGGATTGCCATACAGGGAGCATTCCTCCGAGCACAATTCAAAGTGCTGGTCTTGGCCTATAAAACCCTATACGGCTCCGACCCAGCTTACTTATCCAAACGTATCTTTCTCTATGTTCCGCCTCGTAATTTAAGATCTACTGAGGAGGCCCTGCTCTCGGTCCCACCAGCGTCTCAAACGCGTCTAGTGAGGACGAGGGACAGGACCTTCTCAGTGGTGACCCCCCGCTTGTGGAATTAGCTCCCCAGCAAGATTAGATCAGCGTCCTCCCTCCTTACTTTTAGGAAAAAATTAAAGATATGGTTTTGGAGCCAGGCTTTTGGCTAGTGGGCAAAGCAGCACTTTAGGCACTGAACTCGTAGCATACCTGTCTGGTTCCAAAGCTCTCGCTGGTATTTCACCGGCTCATTTCTCCGCTTCTCGAACTCAAATGAATTATCCTGTGTGGACAGAAGGCAAGGAGTTAATGAGGGGCAACCGAGTTCCATGACAGCACCCCAAAACACTTCTCCGCTTTTCACAATATTTGTCAACAGATGTACACTGCACCTGCTGGCTGCCCACCCGGTCTTCCATCCTGCTCCCAACTCAAAATCCAGAAAAGGTGTCCTGGGACTGAGGCCTGAACAACAGAGCATTGGGTGGGACAGTCTCTTCTTTTCTGGAGATTTCCCAACAGAGGCTAGATGGCCATCTGTTGGGAGGGATCGGATGGTGCTTTCCCTGCCTGGCAAAAAAAGATTGGACTCTACGGCTCTTTCTTTTTTTTAATTTTTTTTTGTTAAGAATGCAAAGTTCTATTATTTACAATCTTAAATAGTGGGGCATGAGGGGCAGTGAGGATGAGGGAATATTACCGCAAGTAAACAGATGGGTTTCCGTATCCGCGGTTCAAAGGAGCGCAGTTTCATAAATAAAAATGTAATGTTCGTTAACAGAACTCAAAAACCACTGGATGAATTGACACCAAATTTGGACACAAGACACCTAACAACCCAATATATGTTCTTCACATGCCTTTCTTGCATGAAGGGGGTTGGAGTGGGTCATCTCTTGGTGTCCTTTCCAAAACTAAGATTCTATTATTATTATTATTATTATTATCATTATCATCATCATCATCACCATCAGGCAAGAGCTGGGTGACCATCTTCTGGGAGGGATCAGGTGGTGCCTTTCCTCGATGAGGGGGGTTGAACTGGATGGCCTTTGGGGGTGCCTTCCAACTCTAGGATCTTATTATTATTATTATTATTATTATTATTATTATTATTATTATTATTGGGAGGGAACAGATGGTGCCTTTCCTGCATGAAGGGGGTTGGACTGGGTAGCCTCTTAGGTCCCTTTCAAAACTAGAGTTCTATTATTGTCATCATCATCAAGCAGGGACTGGGTGGTTATCTGTCTGGAGGGATCAGATGGTGCCTTTCCTGCATGAACACAGAAGGGGGTTGGACTGGGTGTCCTCTTGGGTCCCTTTCAAAACTAGGGTTCTATTATCGTCATCATCATCAAGCAGGGCCTGGATGACCATCTTCCAGGAGGGATCAGGTAGTGCCTTTCCTACATGAAGGGGGGGATGGAATGGGTGGTCTCTTGGGGTCCTTTCAAAACTAGGGTTCTATTATTATTATTATCATCATCATCATCATCAAGCAGGGCCTGGATGACCATCTTCCAGGAGGGATCAGGTGGTGCCTTTCCTGGATGAAGGGGGGTGGACTGGGTGGTCTCTTGGGGTCCTTTCCAAAACTAAGATTCTATTATTATCATCATCATCATCATCATCATCAGGCAGGGCCTGGATGACCAGCTTCCGGGAGTGATCAGGTGGTGCCTTTCCTAGATGAAGGGGTTGGACTGGGTGGCCTCTTGGGTCCCTTTCAAAATTAGGGTTCTATTATTGTCATCATCATCAAGCAGGGACAGGATAACCATCTGTTGGGAGGGATTAGGTGGTGCCTTTCCTGCATGAAGGGGGTTGGACTGGGTGGTCTCTTGGGGTCCTTTCCAAAACTAAGATTCTATTATTATTATTATTATTATCATCATCATCATCATCAGGCAGGAGCTGGATGACCACCTTCCGGGAGGGATCAGGTGGTGCCTTTCCTGCATGAAGGGGGTTGGACTGGGTTGTCTCTTGGGGTCCTTTCCAAAATGAAGAATCTACTATTATTATTATTATTATCATCATCATCATCAGGCAGGGACAGGATGACCATCTGTTGAGAGGGATCAGGTGGTGCCTTTCCTAGATGAAGGGGGGTGGACTGGCTGGCCTCTTGGGTCCCTTTCAAAATTAGGGTTCTATTATTGTCATTATCATCAAGCAGGGGCTGGATGCCCATCTTCCAGGAGGGATCAGGTGGTGCCTTTCCTGGATGAAGGGGGGTGGACTGGATGGTCACTTGGGGTCCTTTCCAAAACTAAGATTCCACTATCATCATCATTATCATCATCAGGCAGGGGCTGGATGACCATCTTCCGGGAGGGATCAGGGATTGGACTGGGTGGTCTCTTGGGGCCCTGACCATCTGTTGGGAGGGATCAGGTGGTGCCTTTCCTGCATGAAGGGGGGTTGACTGGATGGTCTCTTGGGATCCCTTCCAATACTAAGATTCTATTATTATTATTGTTGTTGTTGTTATCATCATCAGCATCATCAGGCAGGGGCTGGATGCCCATCTTCCGGGAGGGATCAGGTGGTGCCTTTCCTGCATGAAGGAGGTTGGACTGGGTGGTCTCTTGGGGTCCTGACCATCTGTTGGGAGGGATCAGGTGGTGCCTTCCCTAGATGAAGGGGGCTGGGCTGGACTGGATGGCCTCTGGGGATTCCCTCCCAACTCTAGGATCTCAATCTGATGAGGGTGCAGGGAGCCTGGCTGGCCCTCTGTAGGGAGGGTTCTGACGGGGTTCTCCCCTGCCCTCCCGGCTCCGCTCACCGTGGCCAGCTCCTTCCCGGCGGCCTTGCGGAAGGCCTTGGTCCATCGCACCTTCCTGGGGTTGCGCTTCTTCTTGAAGCCCTTGTGACACTTGGAGCGGCAGAAGCGGAACGCCTTGCAGTCATTGCGGACGAAGAGCACCCCGTGGCCCGGGTACACCGGCCCCGAGCAGAAGTAGCACCGCTCCACGCGCATGGCGGAAGGGGAAAGCGGGACCGGAAAGGCCGCCCGGCCGGAAGGAAGTCCCTCAGTCCGCCTCGCTTTTTGCGCCCCCTTCCGGCGGAAGGAGGAATAGCCCAGCACGCATGCGCAGTGTGACACAAAGAGAGAGAGATGGAGAGCGCGGAGGTACCAAAGAGCCCTCTTTCGGAGAGAAGAAGGAAAAGAGACAAGTGGTTTCGAGCACGCATGCGCGGTGTGAGAGACATCTACAGCCCTGAAAGGCCAAAGAGCCCTCTTGCGGAAGGAGGGGGGAAAAGCACTAGGGCGCTTCGAGTACGCATGCGTGGTGTGAGAGAAACAGCCCTGAGGCACCAGAGGGAAAAGCGACAGGTTGCTTCCAGCACGCATGCGCAGTGTGAGACAACGCAGCCCTCTTACAAGAAACTTCAGAGGCGGCTTCAAGTACGCATGCGCGGTGTGACAGCCACACATTCCTAAGGCACCAAGGAGCCCTCTTGCGGAGGAAGGCGGCTTCCAGTACGCATGCGCAGTGTGTGACAACGCAGTCTTACGGCAAGGGGGAAAATTTCAGAGGCGGCTTCAAGTACGCATGCGCGGTGTGAAACAACGCAGCCCTCTTATGGCAAGAGGAGGGAAATTTCTGAGGAAGTTTCAAGCACGCATGCGCGGTGTGACATACACATCCCTAAGGCACTAAGGAGCCCTCTTGCGGAGGAAGGAGGGAAGAGCACCAGCACGCATGCGCAATGTGAGGCAATGCAACCCTCTTACGGCAAGAGGGAAACTTCAGAGGCGGCTTCAAGTGCGCATGCGCGGTGTGAGAGATGCACATTCCTAAGGCACCAAGGAGCCCTCTTGCGGAGGAAGGAGGGAAGAGCACCACAACGCATGCGCAGTGTGAGACAACGCAACCGTCTTACGGCAAGAGGGAAACTTCAGAGGCAGCTTCAAGTACGCATGCGCGGTGTGAGAGCTACACATCCCTAAGGCACCAAGGAGCCCTCTTGCGGAGGAAGGAGGGAAAAGCGCCAGGCAGTTACAGGCGCGCATGCGCGGTGTGAGAAAAACACAGGCCTGAGAGACCAGAGGCAGGGCTCGTGTTCTTGCTTGACTGCGAGTCCCATCATCCCCTCAGAAAGCAAGACAGGGAGGCAGACTTCGGGCAGTGCTTCATCTTTATTACCAGAGAAGAACAGAAGGAGGGAAGGAAGGAACACAAGTTGACTCAGTCCTGTCAGAACAACAACAACAAACATGGCGTCGAAGGAGAGATGCGGCCTAGTCCCACTTGGAGCCTGAGAGACATTGAAATAGAGAGGCAGCGGGCCAGAGAGACGTGTCCTTGACCCACTATGGAGCTTGGGATACTAGGAAATACGGTGGGCCGTTTGTGGCCAGAGAGACGCAGCCTAGGCCCACTTGTACCCTCAACAGCAACAAAATGGAGGGGCGGCAGGCCTTTTGCGTCCCAACAAAGAGGCCTATTTGGAGAAGGGCCTGTTGAAAGGACAAAGAGCCTCATGAATGCCGTAATTCTGATACAGACCATTGCTGACAACCTACAGCCGAAGTCAGCCATGGAATCAAAGAGTTGGAAGAGACCTCCTGGGCCATCATCCAGTCCAACCCCATTCTGCCAAGAAGCAGGAATATTGCATTCAAATCACCCCTGACAGATGGCCATCCAGCCCCTGTTTAAAAGCTTCCAAAGAAGGAGCCTCCACCACACTCCGGGGCAGAGAGTTCCACTGCTGAACGGCTCTCACAGTCAGGAAGTTCTTCCTCATGTTCAGATGGAATTTGAAGCCATTGTTCCGCGTCCTAGTCTCCAGGGCTGCAGAAAACAAGCTTGCTCCCTCCTCCTCCCTGTGGCTTCCTCTCACATATTTATACATGGCGCTCATCATATCTCCTCTCAGCCTTCTCTTCTTCAGGCTAAACATGCCCAGCTCCTTAAGCCGCTCCTCATAGGGCTTGTTCTCCAGACCCTTGATCATTTTAGTCGCCCTCCTCTGGACACATTCCAGCTTGTCAATATCTCTCTTGAATTGTGGTGCCCAGAATGGGACACAATATTCCAGGTGTGGTCTAACCAAAGCAGAATAGAGCACAGGGAGCCTGACTTCCCTAGATCTAGACACTATGCTCCTCTTGATGCAGGCCAAAATCCCATTGGCTTTTTTTGCCGCCACATCTCGTTGTTGGCTCATGTTTAACTTGTCCACGAGGACTCCAAGATCTTTTTCACACATACTGCTCTCGAACCAGGCCTCATCGTCCCCCATTCTGTCTCTTTGCATTTCGTTTTTTCTGCCTAAGTGGAGTATGCCGGTTTTGAGGCCAGACTCATAGGTGTTTTGGACTCTCAACTCCCACAGTTCCTAACAGGCGGTAGTGAAGTGTCCTATTCTAAGTCTGTGTAGGAACATCCTTCTCTTCTACAGGGTGACTCAGTCCTGTCAGAAGAACAATAACAAACATGGCGTCGAAGGAGAGACATTGAAATAGTCCCATTTGGAGCCTGGGAGACATTGAAATAGTGAGGCAGCGGGCCTTTAGTGGCCAGAGAGACGTGGCCTTGTCCCACTATGGAGCCTGGGGTTTAGGGAAATGCGGTGGACCTTTTGTGGCCAGAGAGACGTGGAAAGACTGAAGGGTTTGAAAAAATCTTATCTTTTCAATTTTTAATAATTTTTATAGGTTATAGAGCAGTGTTTCTCAACCTGGGGGCCAGGACCCCCAGCGGGGTCGCAAGGGGGTGTCAGAGGGGTCATAGAATCAAAGAGTTGGAAGAGACCTCCTGGGCCATCCAGTCCAACCCCATTCTGCCAAGAAGCAGGAATATTGCATTCAAATCACCCCTGACAGATGGCCATCCAGCCTCTGTTTCAAAGCTTCCAAAGAAGGAGCCTCCACCACACTCCGGGGCAGAGAGTTCCCCTGCTGAACGGCTCTCACAGTCAGGAAGTTCTTCCTCATGTTCAGATGGAATCTCCTCTCTTGTAGTTTGAAGCCATTGTTCCGCGTCCTAGTATCCAGGGAAGCAGAAAACAAGCTTGCTCCCTCCTCCCTGTGGCTTCCTCTCACATATTTATACATGGCTATCATATCCAAAGACCATCAGAAAACAGTATTTTCTATTGGTCATGGGAGTTCTGTGTGAGAAGTTTGGACTACTTCTATCGTTGGTGGGGTACAGAATGCACTTTGTAGGTGAACTATAAATCCCAACAACTACAACTCCCAAATGTCAAGGTCTATTTCCCCCAAACTCCACTAGTGTTTACATTTGGGCATATTGAATATTCATGCCAAGTTAGGTCCAGATCCATCATTGTTTGAGTTTCTGGAGGTAGGTGAACTACAACTCCCAAACTCAAGGTCAGTGCCCACCAAATCCTTCCAGTATTCAGTTCTTGTGGGTTTTTTCGGGCTATATGGCCATGTTCTAGAGGCATTTCTCCTGACGTTTCGACTGCATCTACGGCAAGCATCCTCAGAGCAGACCTCACCTCTGAGGATGCTTGCCATAGATGCAGGCGAAACGTCAGGAGAAATGCCTCTAGAACATGGCCATATAGCCCGAAAAAACCCACAAGAACTGAGTGATTCCAGCCATGAAAGCCTTCGACAATACCTTCCAGTATTTTCCGTTGGTCATGGGAGTTCTGTGTGCAAAGTTTGGTTCAATGTCATCATTGGCGGAGTTCAGAATGCTATTTGATTGTAGGTTAACTATAAATCCCTGCAACTACAACTCCCAATTAACAAAATCAACCCCTCCAACCCCGCCAGTTGTCAAATTTGGGTATTTGTGCCAAGTTTAGTCCAGTGAATGAAAATACATCCTGCAGATCAGATATTTACATTATGATTCGTAACAGTAGCAAAATTACAATTATGAAGTAGCAACGAAAATAATTTGATGGTTGGGGGTCACCACAACACGCGGCATGAGGAAGGTTGAGAACCACTGAACTAGAGGGTTTATTTCTGGGAACGCCTTGTGAGTGACTGGATGGCTAGAAAAGGTCCACAGTACATCACAAAGGGCTCATTGCCGCAAATGGGCCTTCTCCCGACTCCCCTTCCTCTCCGGGGACCGGATCGTGTTCGGAAGCCCCACAGCATTCTTCGCCAGGAGGGAATTTCTATGTCGTTGATGGCAAAGCGAGCCCTTCACTGTGCCCTCTGTGGCTCCCGCCTCCGTCCGTTCGGGTGCAGCCGGTGCTGCTGGAGAGAGTGATGGTGGAAAGGATGGGACGTTATTGAGAAAGCCAGAGACGGCGAAGACAGAATTGGAGAAGTTGAAAAGAAAGCTGAAATTATCTGCCTGTCAAAATAGCAGCACAGTTAAGAAATTATGGAGATAAAAGTGGGGAAATGGTTCAAGAGACAGTACTTTTATGACTTAGATGGAAAGAGGGAGCTGGTTTAGAAATGTTAGAAACCTCTACTATAAAAAGGCTGAGTTGTACCTCAGCTTGAGTTGTACCCAACAGCTTTGGCCAAAATATCGATTGTATTTTAATCTACTAGGAGTTTTGAGGGCACGGATCCTCGACAAGGGAAGCCCGCAGCCATTGAACCAAGAGGGCAAAGGGAAAGCCAAGGCATTCCGATCCAGCTGTGAACTAAGGTACGTTTTCTCCAAAGGCATTGAGTGGGAAGCATTGGCCAGCCCTCCAAATCTGTTCCTGCCAAGATAAGAAAGCGGGCTCCTCTGTGGGCTATCTTTGTGTGTGTGTGTGTGTGTATTTTTAAAAGGGATGCTATTACTTTTACTTTGGCACTTGGTATGAACCCAAATCTCTCTCTGATCCAGATTATGATGCTGAGCGCTCAGGTCGAGGGACCAAAAGGGCTGTACCCCCTCTCACTCTCAACCTGCCCATTTAGTGATAAATTCTGGGGCTTTACCGGAGGATTTGGGGACTTTCTGCTCAGAAACAAGCAGGCAAGCTTTGGGACAACCCTTCCCGCTGAATACGAAGAAAAGGGAACGGAAGCCAAGCCCCAGTTGGCATCGTTCGAAAGCAGGCTCCAAGGCTTCTCACAAAGGCTACTTCTTCTATGCGCAGGGCAGGCAGGAGCGTCCAGCAAAGGGGTCGGACGGAGCCCTGGATCCGGCCCCAGTGGGCCGCTCAGCAGCCGCACTTGTTCTTCTCCGGCTCTTGGCCCAGGCGCTCCGGGGAGCCGTGCCCATTGGACTGCACCACCCCCTCCGGGATCCAGGACTTGTCCACGCACCGCTCCATGCGCTTCATGATGAGGTCCAACAGCGTCTCGATGGCCTTGCCGATGTTGGCCCCACTGGCCGCGCTGGTCTCGAAGTACGGGATCCTGCAGAGAGAGAGAGAAGTAAGCAGTCAGAGCAAGAGCCAGAGGAAGGGAAAGAGGGAGGGGCTGGCCTGACTCTGTGGATGCAAGAATCAAAAATGCCTGCATCTCCTTCTTGGGCATCTCTCTCCCTCACCTGATACATGCCAGAAGGGACAGAGAGTTTCATCTATGCTGATGATCGTTCCACTACTGCTCAAGCAAGGAGCTATGAGATGGATTTCACAAAGGACGACCACCTCACCCGCCGCATAGGAAACCTGCTACAAAACAGGAGCTTTTTTGTTGAGTTCCAGGGCCAGAGAAGTAGATGGCGGAAACAGAAGAACGGCCTGCCTCAGGGGAGCGTGCTTGCTCCATCCATGTTCAACATCTACACAAATGACCAGCCACTGCCAGAAGGGACAGAGAGCTTCATCTATGCTGATGATCGTTCCATTACTGCTCAAGCAAGGAGCTTTGAGATGGATATCACAAAGGACTACCACCTCACTCGCCTCATAGGAAACCTGCTACACAACAGGAGCTTTTTTGTTGAGTTCCAGGGCCAGAGAAGCAGATGGCGGAAACAGAAGAACGGCCTGCCTCAGGGGAGCATGCTTGCCCCATCCATGTTCAACATCTACACAAATGACCAGCCACTGCCAGAAGGGACAGAAAGTTTCATCTATGCTCATGATCGTGCCATTACTGCTCAAGCAGGGAGCTTTGAGATGGTAGAACAGAAGCTCTCCGAAGCTCTAGGTGCTCTTACTGCCTATTACAGGGAAAACCAGCTGATCCCTAATCATATATCATACATATAATATCACACAGGACGACCACCTCACTCGCCTCATAGGAAACCTGCTACAAAACAGCAGTTTTTTTGTTGAGTTCCAGGGCCAGAGAAGCAGATGGCGGAAACAGAAGAACGGCCTGCCTCAGGGGAGCGTGCTTGCTCCATCCATGTTCAACATCTACACAAATGACCAGCCACTGCCAGAAGGGACAGAGAGCTTCATCTATGCAGATGATCGTTCCATTACTGCTCAAGCAAGGAGCTTTGAGATGGATATCACAAAGGACGATCACCTCACCCACCGCATAGGAAACCTGCTACAAAACAGGAGCTTTTTTGTTGAGGTCCAGGGCCAGAGAAGTAGATGGCGGAAACAGAAGAACGGCCTGCCTCAGGGGAGCATGCTTGCTCCATCCATGTTCAACATCTACACAAATGACCAGCCACTGCCAGAAGGGACAGAGAGCTTCATCTATGCTGATGATCGTGCCATCACCGCTCAAGCAGGGAGCTTTGAGATGGTAGAACAGAAGCTCTCCGAAGCTCTAGTTGCTCTTACTGCCTATTACAGGGAAAACCAGCTGATCCCCAACCCATCTAAACCACAGACATGTGGCTTTCATCTCAAGAACAGACAAGCATCCTGAGCTCTGAGAATGATCTGGGAAGGAATCCCACTGGAGCCTTGCAGCGCACCCAAATACCTGGGAGTCACTCTGGACCGTGCTCTGACCTACAAGAGGCACTGCCTGAACATCAAGCAAAAAGTGGGTGCTAGAAACAATATCATACAAAAGCTGACTGGCACAACCTGGGGATCACAACCAGACACAGTGAAGACATCTGCCCTTGCGCTGTGCTACTCTGCTGCTGAGTACGCATGCCCAGTGTGGAACAGTGGATGTGGCTCTTAATGAGACATGCCGCATCATCATGGGGTGTCTGCGCCCTTCACCACTGGAGAAATTACACTGCTTAGTCGGTATTGCACCACCTGACATCCACCGGGAAGTAGCAGCCAATAGTGAAAGGACCAAGGCAGAGACATCTCCAGCTCATCCCCTGTTTGGGTATCAGCCAGCACGTCAACAACTTAAATCAAGAAATAGTTTTCTAAGATCTACAGAGACACTCACTGGAACACCCCAGCAAGCGAGAGTCCAAAAGTGGCAGGCTCAAACCCAGAACCCCAACCAGTGGCTGATACCAAATGAGAGACTCCCCCCTGGGCACACAGAAGACTGGGCGACTTGGAAGGCGCTGAACAGACTATGCTCTGGCACCACGAGATGCAGAACCAACCTTCAGAAATGGGGCCACAAAGTGGAGTCCTCGACATGCGAGTCTGGAGAAGAGCAAACCACTGACCACCTGCTGCAATGCACCCTGAGCCCTGCCACATGATGCACAAGGGAGGACCTCCTTGCAGCAACACCAGAGGCACTCCAAGGGGACAGAGACTGGTCAAAGGACATTTAACCAACTACCAAACTCACAAATTTTGTATTCTTCCTGTTTGTTTGCTTTGTTCTGTTAGAAATGTAATATAATTGACTGGTTGCACTGAAACGACAAATAAATAAACCTGACACATGGAGGGTTGCCTCAGTTGGCAAACAAATAGACCCGCCCAAGCACCGACGCCCACAGACTTTGCGTCTGAAGGAACACGTCAGGCCCTTCAGGGCGTGGGTTCCCAATGAGGCTACCGCCCCATTGAGAGTGTATGCAAACGCCCAAATCAAGGCTGGCTAGCTCTGAAAGTGGCCCCAGGCCATGGACAGTAGCTCTGGGGCAGTGGTTCTCAACCTGGGGTCCCCAGATGTTTTTGGCCTACAACTCCCAGAAATCCCAGCCAATTTACCACCTGTTAGGATTTCAGGGAGTTGAAGGCCAAAAACATCTGGGGACCCCAGGTTGAGAACCGCTGCTCTGGGGAGAAGATCATTGGGCCTATTCTGAGACTGCCATGCAGCTTTTGCCCTTGGAAGGGGGTCCATAAATGTTTCTCTGTGCCAGGCATGGGCCAACTTTGGCCCTCCTTCCAGGTGTTTTGGACTCTCAACTCCCACAATTCCTAACAGTTGGTGGAAGTCCAAAACACCTGAAGGGCTGAAGTTTCCTATTGCTGCTCTATACATATTGACACTGACCCCAGCTGGGTTTGGCCAGGGCACAGGGCATTCTGGGAAGTGTCCTCCAAAACTGGAACTTTCCCCATTTCAGCCCAAAGAAATGGAAACATATGACCCATGCACATCTGCTGTTGGAACCACCTGGTTGCTTTGCTTTGCAAATGGCCTTCTCTGACTTGAATGCGATTTTCCTGCTTCTTGGCAGGGGTTGGACTGGATGGCCCACGAGGTCTCTTCCAACCGTATGATTCTATGATTGGCTTGTATGACTCTCTAGATGGGCATCTTGGGGTCCAAAGACCTCCCTCCCCAAAACATGCTCCTCTTTGAGGGAGGAGAGAGGTGACCCTAAGAGAGAGAGGGGAATGGGATGGGAATGTTCCCACACAGGAACAAAACATGCTTTTTAACATCTACATGAAACCAGTCGGAGAGGTCATCCGGAGTTTTGGAGTTGGGTGCCATCTCTACGCAGATGACACACAACTCTACTACTCTTTTCCACCCAACTCCAAGGAAGCCCCTCGAGTGCTGGACGAGTGCCTGACCGCTGTCTGGATGAGGAGGAACAAGCTGAGGGTCAATCCCGACAAGACATAGGTCCTTCTGGTTGATCATAAACCAGACCTGGGTATAGGGTGGCAACCTGTGCTGGATGGGGTTGCACTCCCCCTGAAGTCACAGGTCCGCAGTTTGGGGGTCCTCTTGGATTCTTCACTTACGTTTGAGGCTCAGGCATCGGTGGTGGCCGGGAGGGCTTTCGCACAATTGAGACTCGTGCGCCAAGTGCGACCGTATCTCGGGAAGGCAGATCTGGCCAAAGTGGTCCACGCCTTAGTCACCTCTAGCCTGGATTACTGCAATGCACTCTACGCAGGGCTGTCCTTGAAAATGGCCCGGAAATTCCAGATGATCCAATGGGCGGCAGCCAGGTTGTTAACTGGGGCTCCTTACAGGGCTCCTTACAGGGTGGCCCATCAGAATTGTAAGGTAGGAAGGGAGAGGACACTTACCCGTATTTTTCGGCCAGGGCCTTGGCGTCCTCATCCTTCACGGCCCGCTGCTCCTCCTGGTCGCTTTTGTTCCCACACAGGACCACGTCTGGGTTCTCGCAATAGGCATGTGTTTGCAGCTGGGCTAAAGGGGCAGGACAAAGACAATGTCAGAGGGCAATGTTTGGGAGGAAAGGAAGTTCGGGGGCCCTTTTGGTCTCAAAGGCCAACCTGGACCAACTCACAAACTACAAGAGAGGAGATTCCATCTGAACATGAGGAAGAACTTCCTGACTGTGAGAGCCGTTCAGCAGTGGAACTCTCTGCCCCGGAGTGTGGTGGAGGCTCCTTTGTTGTAAGCTTTGAAACAGAGGCTGGATGGCCATCTGTCAGGGGTGATTTGAATGCAATATTCCTGCTTCTTGGCAGAATGGGGTTGGACTGGATGGCCCAGGAGACCTCCCAACTCTTTGATTCTATGATTCTACAGGAAGCGCCGTGTCCTTTGGGGTGCCACCCTCTTACATGTGTTATGGACTTGCCCCATGCCAGTGTCCCACTCCAGTGGCTTTCCAGCCCTGGGATGATGCTGGTTACACTGGGAGGGAAGGGGGTGGTGGTTTGAGACTTACTCATCCAGTTCCGGATATTGAGGAAGCTTTGCTCGTTGGTCAAGTCAAAGAGGAGGAGGAAGCCCATGGCGTCCCTGAAGAAGGCTGTGGTCAAGCTGCGGAACCTGCGCAAGCCGGAATAGAACAGTGTGGGTTGAAAAAGGAAAGGTTCTTGGGTCCTTGAAGAACCCAGCCAGCTCTTCAGCCCAGGACGCTGAACCATACTTGTGAAGCAGGTGGGACTGAGAGCAGGGCCTCCCCAGAAGATCTAAGAGAAATGAGCCTGAAATCTTTTGCCCCGACTTCAAAGGAGCCACGGCTGAAGGCTTTAAGGACGGAGGGTTCGGCTCAGGATAATCTGGCAGAAGCAGAGTGACCCCCATGGCCTTTCGCCACCTCCGCTTGACCTCAAAGCAGCGCTCTGCTTGAAGGCAAGGAGATCAGCCTTCTTGGCAGGGAATTTGTGGGGTTCCCACTCTGAACTGCCTTCAGACTGTGCCCTTCCCCGCAGAGGCGGCCCTAGGTAATTTTCAATGGTAAGCAAATAGTATTTTGGCACCCCCTCCCCCCAACCAATCATTGATATATATTTTCTGTTTGTCGTGGGAGTTCTGTGTGCCATATTTGGTTCAATTCCATCATTGGTGGAGTTCAGAATGCTCTTTGATTGTAGGTGAACTATACATCCCAGTAACTACACTTGCCGCATTTGCTCCCTTGCCTGGCCCGCTTTGGGTCCGGAGGCGTGCCTGAAGCCCCCGGCGTGTGCACCAAAAGTCACCTCTTCTCCTGACTTTCTCCTCAGCCATTGGGACCAAGAGAGAGAGAGAGAGACAGAGGTGGAGATGCCCACCTTTCCTGAAGGTAGGCGCAAAAACAAAGGAGGGAGCGGAGGTGGGAGATACCTCCAGCCGGAGGGGCTCTCTCTCTCTCTCTCTCTCTCTCTCTTTCTTGGTCCCAATGGCTGAAGAGAAAGTCAGGAGAAGAGGCGACTTTTGGTGCGCATGCTAGGGTCTTCAGACACACCTCTGGACCTGAAGAGGGCCAGGCGTGGTGGCTCCGCCCCTTGGCCCACCCACGGATTGGGGAGAGGAGAGGAGGCGGGTGGAGCGCCGGGGGATCGGGAAAGGGAGCCAGATTGCTCACCGGAGCGGCATACAGGGAGCACACCACCCCCCTGTTGTGCCAGCTCCACTGGCTGCCGGTTCAATTCCGAGCACAATTCAAGGTGCTGGTTTTGACCTACAAAACCCTATACGGTTCTGGTCCAGTGTATCTGTCCGAACGTATCTCCCTTTACGTCCCACCTCGGAGTTTGAGATCATCTGGGGAGGCCCTGCTCTCGACCCCACCACTGTCACAAGTGAGGCTGGTGGGGACGAGAAGCAGGGCCTTCTCAGTGGTGGCCCCCCACCTGTGGAACTCACTCCCAGGGGAAATCAGAACAGCACCAACCCTCCTCTCTTTCAGGGGGAGGGTGAAGACATGGTTGTGGAACCAGGCCTTCGGGCAACCAGGCAACTAGAGAAGACAACTAAATATGACAACCAGATGTGTAAGATCAGCAGGTTGTTGAAATGGAATCGAAACAGACCCTTGAGTTAATGAACACTGATGGGTAGAAGGAAGATCTAGGTTTGTATGTTTTATTGCTTTACTGTTTTTATCTTTTTATTGATCTTACTGGATTATGCTGAATTGTGGGAATTTGTATCGCGGTATTTTATGATGATTGTTTGTATGGCAGGTGTCTAAGTGCGCCTTGCAGCTGTAAGCCGCCCTGGGTCCCCTTCGGGGTGAGAAGGGCGGGGTACAAGAATCCCAAATAAATAAATAAATAAATAAATAAGGGAGTCGGTCATGGGGAAGGGATCAAACGCGGAGAACGATTGAGCGCAGGCTCTGCTCACGCACCCGGTGGCCGGGTGGAGCAGGAACGAGAGGGGCTAGGTGAGGCTCAAGGACCCGGCCCCTTTGGGAAGAGGATCCGCCCGGCAGCGAGGCAAGAAAGCCGAGGTTCCCCCCGGACTGCTAGGGCTGTTGTGAGCTGAGGGGGCGCTCCTCAAGTGGCGGTCGAGGGGCATTTACAGAGGCACCTCTGCGCCCCTGGCAAAAAAAAGTGTTCTGCGACTGCTTACTTCGCGTAATGGATGAGCCACCCCTGCTTCCCCGCCACACTTTCCCTGATGTGCCGCAATGTTGTGGTGTTTCTTCCACCCCTTCCCCTCATACCTTTCTTGCCCAGCCGTGTCCCACAGCTGCAGGTGTATCCTCTGCCCACGGCCACTCACTCCATCCGGCCCATTGGAGCGGTACACCTGTTCCGGAAAGGAGGAAGAAGAGAAGGATTCTTGTGACTCAGAAGCCTTTCCTGCTTGCCATCCCAAATCTGCTGTTCAGCACCCCAAAGTGTGGTGGAGGCTCCTTCTACGGAGGCTTTTAAGCAGAGGCTGGATGGCCATCTGCTGAGGGTGCATTGAACGTTATTGTCCTGCTTTTTGGCAGGGGGTTGGACTGAATGACCCACGAGGTCTCTTCCAGCTCTATTATTCTATGACAGTGTTTCTCAACCTGGGGATCGGGACCCCTGGGGGCAGAGGCGGCCCTAGATAATTTTGGTAAGCGGAGGTGGGAGATCCCTCCAGCTGGAGGGGCTCTATCTCTCTCTCTTGGTCCCAATGGCTGAGGAGAAAGTCAGGAGAAGAGGCGACTTGGTGTGTACGCTGGGGTCTTCAGACACGCCTCTGGACCCAAAGTGGGCCAGGCAAGGGAGCAAGTGCGGCGCGACAGCTCTGCCCCTTGACCCACCTGCGGATTGGGGAGAGGAGAGGAGGCGGGTGGAGCACCGGGGGATCAGGAAAGGGAGCCGGTCATGGGGAAGGGATCGAACGTGGAGAACGATTGAGCGCTGGCTCTGCTCAAGAGCCCGGCCCCTTCAGGAAGAGGATCACCCGGCAGCGAGGTAAAAAAGCCGAGGCTCCCCCCGTACTGCTAGAGCTGTTGTGAGCTGAGGGGGCGCTCCTCAAGTGGCGGTCGAGGGGCATTTACAGAGGCACCTCTGTTCCCCTGGCAAAAAAAGTGTACTGCGACCGCTTACTTCGCGTAATGGATGAGCCGCCCCTACCTGGGGGGGGGGGGACATGAGGAGGTGTCAGTGGGGTCGCCAAAGACCATCAGAAAACACAGTATTTTCTGTTGGTCATGGGGGTTCTGTGTGGGAAATTTGGCTCAGTTCTATCATTGGTGGAGTTTAGAATGCTCTTTGATTATAGGTGAACTATAAATCCCAGCAACTACCAAAATCTCAAGGTCTGTATTCCCCAAACACTACCACTGTTCACCATTTGGGCATATTGAGTATCCATGCCAAGTTTGGTCCAGATCCACCATTGTTTGAGTCCAAAGTGCACTCTAGATGTAGGTAATCTACAACCCTCAAGGTCAATGCCCACCTAACCCTACCAGTATTTTCTGTTGGTCATGGGAGTTCTGTGTGCTACGTTTGGTTCAATTCTATCGTTGGTGGAGTTCAGAATGCTCTTTGATTGTAGGTGAACTATAAATCCCAGCAACTACAACTCCCAAATGACAAAATCATAATTTTTTGAGTGATGGTCACTCCTTGTGTTGTGAGACATTTTGTTGCCAAATTTGGTGTGATTTCGTTCTTTGGTTCTTTTGTTTTTAAGGTACTTGTTACGCACAGAGCATTTTTATATATATAGATGATCTCTCATCCCCTCCCCCCTCCAATGCCCATTCAGGGGTCCCATTGAGAAGAGAGGGGAGTCGGGTGCATTGAGAGCAAGGCGGAAGGGGCAACCATTGCAAGAGGACAGAGTGCCCTCTCCAGACAGACACATGCTCCACGTATGCATCTCATGGCACATTAGTGGACCCGAAGGGCAAGCATCTGGTGAGGAAGCCAAGGCCACTGCAACGGCCCAGATTCAGGCGTAATTACATTTGTAGAAGTACAATCAGATAACGGAGCGAACACACGCCAGACATTCATCAACGCCTTTCCTTGGCAGCGCTTCAGGTTGTTTGCAAACGACGGAGCGCCGCCACTGCCTCGCGTCAACAAGCTCTCATTACAGCCTTTGCTATTCGGCTGGAACAGGATATTAATGTGGGGAGCAGGTTCGGCATGGCAATAGGAAGCAGCAGCTGTCCAGGGAAGATGGGCACCAAGCCAAGGCAGGGGAATCCAGAAATGCATGGCTGAAGGCCGACTGGGACAGCGTTTAGGGTGAACCGAAGAGCGCCACGTCCAATTAAAAGGCTACTGGAGCCTCGCGCTCTTGGATCACTGCCTTCATGTCAACACAGAGCCAGGGATCCCCAGAAAGCAGCAACAGCAAAGGCATTAAGAACTTTGGGAATGTACGGGGAGAGAGACTTACCACCCTCTTCTCTCGGAAGTCGATGCCCACCGTCGTAATGAATTTGGAGTTGAACTTGCCATCGGTGTACTGGTAGAGGAAGCTGGTCTTCCCGACGCCCGAGTCCCCCAGGGCTAGGAATTTGATGAGGTAATCGTAGTCCCCATCAGACATAGTGAGAACGTCAGCGGCAGCCTTTGGGGAAGAAAAAACAGAAAGGAAGAGGAGTCAGGAAGGTGGAGGGAAAGTGGCTTCATGTCCTTCGATGCCAGCTTGACCAGGGTGGGTCGGCGCTGCTTGTGTTATTGGATCTCACAGCAGCATTTGACACAGTCGACCACAATCTTCTTACCCACCGCCTTGCTGCTGTTGGAGTCAGGGGGAGAGCTTTAAACTGGCTCCCCTCCTTTCTTCACAACTGTGGACAGCGAGTGGAGAGGGGAGGCCTGGTCTCTGAGAGGTCCCTTCTATCTGTGGGGTTCCTCAGGGGGCCATTCTCTCCCCTCTGTTGTTTAACATCTATATGCGACCACTTGCTCAGCTGGTTCGAGGTTTTGGGCTGGAGTGTGACCAGTACGCTGATGACACTCAGCTGAAGATGGAAGGCCGACTGGACTCAAGTGGCAGTCGAGAGGCATTTACAGAAGCGCCTCTGCGCCCCTGGCAAAAGAAAAGTGTTCTGCGACCGCTTACTTCGCGTAATGGATGAGCCGCCCCTGTCTTCACCCAATTATTTCAATCAGTGCCTCGAGGCCGTGACTGGATGGCTGCGTGCCAGCAGGTTGAGGGTGAACCCGGTAAAGACGGAGATCCTATGGCTGGGTCAACCGGGCAGTGGGGATATCCAGCTGCCTACCCTGGATGGCGAGGCGCTACACCCGTCATCGTTGGTCAAGAGTCTTTTGGACCCTCTGCGGACGATGGAGGCCCAGGTCTCTCTCCGCCGTGAGCAGAACCGCCTTCTTTCTTTCACCTGCGGCAGGCTAGACGGCTGGCCCCCTCCCTGTCCAGGGACGACCTGGCTACAGTGACCCAGGGCACAGTCATCTCAAGACTGGACTACTGTAACACCCTCTACATTGGCCTTCCTCTGTCGGTGATCCGGAAGCTCAAGTTGGTACAAAATGCAGCTGCTCGGCTTCTTGCGGGAATCCCGATGAGATGCCACATAACCTCAATCTTACTACAGCTGCATTGGTTACCAATTGAGCACCGGATGATCCAGGCTACGGTCATCTCAAGACTGGACTACTGTAACGCTCTCTACATTGGCCTTCCTCTGTCGGTGATCCGGAAGCTCAAGTTGGTACAAAATGCAGCTGCTCGGCTTCTTGCGGGAATTCCGATGAGATGCCACATCACCCCAATCTTACTACAGCTGCATTGGTTACCAGTTGAGCACCGGATCACTTTCAAAGGGATGGTACTCACCTTTAAGGCCTTGCATGGTCTGGGGCTGATGGACCTGAGGGACCACCTCACCCCCTACCAACCCCAGAGATCCCTCCGCTCTGAGGACCAAGATTTGTTGGAAATTCCCAGTGTCAAGACCTTGCGTCTAACAGCAACCAGACGCAGAGCCTTCACAGCAGTGGCACCATCACTCTGGAATATTCTGCCACCCGAAGTCCATGCCTTGCGGGACTTAGCGTTCCGCAGGGCATGTAAGACATATTTGTTTCGACAGGCCTTTGATCTTTGATATTGCTGTTTTTAAATAGTTTTTAAATTGTGTTAGATTTTAGCCTGTTCTCGTAAGCCACTCTGAGCCCCAGGGGAGTGGCCACATATAAGTTTGAATAATAAATAAATAAATAAATACATGTCCACTTTAGTGGCACTGGATTCCCGATAGGACCCCTCGGAGTCCACTGCTAGGCTTGGCTGGGAACGGGTCCTTCATCGCTGTACTCCTCCTCCTCCTTGGCAAATATTGAACAAGAGATCTCCACCCTCTTTGTGACTTCAGGTGACGGATGAGTGGCCGGTAGGAGCCCTGCCTCCGGCTGCCCAGCTAGGCAGGGATTCAACAGGTGTTCATCGCAGCCACCTCGTGCTTCACGCTCTGTCCAATCCCTGATGGGAGCCATTTCTGAGTGAAGGCACCCATCAGCCTAGAACAGTGGTTCTCAACCTTCCTAATGCTGTGACCCCTTCATACAGCGCCTCACGTTGTGGTGACCCCCAACCATAAAATTATTATTATTATTATTATTATTATTATTATTATTATTATTATTGCTACTTCCTAATTGTAATTGTGTTCCTGTTATGAATCATAATGTAAATATCTGAAATGCAGGATGTATTTTCATTCACTGGACCAAATTTGGCACAAATACCCAACAAGAGCGCTCCATGCCGTCATGTCAGCCACATAACCTTGGAGGTGTCTATGGACAACACCGGCTCTTTGGCCTAGAAATTGAGCACCAACTCCCAGAGTTGGAAACAACTGGACTTAATGTCAGGGGAAAACTTTTACCGTACGTTACCCAATATGCCCAAATTTGAATACTAGTGGGGTTGGAGGGAAAATTGATTATGTCATTTGGGAGTTGTAGTTGCTGGGACTTACAATTAAAGAGCATTTTGAACTCCACCAATGATGGAATTGGACCAAACGTGGCACACAGAACTCCCATAACCAACGAAAAATACTGGAAGGGTTTGGTGAGCACTGTCATTGAGTTTGGGAGTTGTAGTTCACCTGCATCCAGAGAGCATTGCAGACTCAAACAATGATGGATCTGGACCAAACTTGGCATGGATACTCAATATGCCCCAATGTGAACACAGGTGGAGTTTGGGGAAAATAGACCTTGACATTTGGGAGATGCAGTTGCTGGGATTTATAGTTCACCTGCAACGAAGAGCCCTCGCCTGCTCCGCACCCCTGCCTGCCGGTGGAAGAGCAACACAGGCAAGGGGTGCCTGGCGCAAGACCTTGCGCCAAAGGGCCCTCGCCTGCTCCGCACCCCTGCCTGCCGGCGGGAGAGCAATGCAGGCAAGGGGCACCCACGGAGCCGCTCACCTGTCCCTTGCCTCCTTCTGCCATCAGCCAATGCGGTTTCGCGACCCCCAGAAAATGGCCGAACAACCCCTTGAGGGGTCGCGACCCCCAGGTTGAGAACCGCTGGCCTAGAAAGATATAGGGGTGTTCCAAGTTCCTCCCTGGGCTTGCCATTAGAAGGCAGGATCCTGGGGAGCAGTTGTGGGAGATTCATAGGGTCACTTGGACCATCCTGGAGACCAAGGTTCAAACTTCCATTCGGTCACGGAGACCAAAGGGAACAGTCGGAGACCACCCGAAGGTACCTACGGGCGACAGCCGTGGTGGAGATGTAGCAGGAGCCTTGGCGTAAAGGCCCCTCTTGTGCCCAGCATGCCCTGGTCCCAGGCGGAACAAATTCACGGCCCTAGCAAGTCAACATGAGCCAGGAATGGGATGTGGCGGCAAAAAAAGCCAATGGGATTTTGGCCTGCATCAAGAGGAGCCTAGTGTCTAGATCTAGGGAAGTCCTGCTCCCCATGCTCTATTCCGCTTTGGTTAGACCACTTTACCTGGAATATTGTGTCCAATTCTGGGCACCACAACTGAAGAGAGATATTGACTCTAAGCTGGAATGTGTCCAGAGGAGGGCGACTAAAATGATCAAGGGTCTGGAGAACAAGCCCTATGAGGAGCGGCTTAAGGAGCTGGGCATGTTTAGCCTGAAGAAGAGAAGGCTGAGAGGAGATATGATAGCCATGTATAAATATGTGAGAGGAAGCCACAGGGAGGAGGGAGCAAGCTTGTTTTCTGCTTCCCTGGAGACTAGGACGCAATGGAAGAATGGCTTCAAACTACAAGAGAGGAGATTCCACTGAACATGAGGAAGAACTTCCTGACTGTGAGAGCCGTTCAGCAGTGGAACTCTCTGCCCCGGAGTGTGGTGGAGGCTCCTTCTTTGGAAGCTTTTAAGCAGAGGCTGGATGGCCATCTGTCAGAGGTGATTTGAATGCAATATTCCTGCTTCTTGGCAGGGGGTTGGACTGGATGATGGCCCAGGAGGTCTCTTCCAACTCTAGGATTCTATTATTATTATTATTATTATTATTATTATTAAGCAGAGGCTGGATGGCCATCTGTCGGGGGTGATTTGAATGCAACATTCCTGCTTCTTGGCAGAATGGAGTTGGACTGGATGGTGGCCCAGGAGGTCTCTTCCAACTCTTGGATTCTAGGATTCTATGATTCTGAACTCCACCAGCGATGGATTTAAACCGAACTTGGCACACAGAACTCCCATGACCAACGTAAAACACTGAAAGGGTTTGGTGGGCATTGACCTTGAGTTTGGGAGTTATAGTTCACCTATATCCAGAGGAGTGCTATGGATTTATGCAATGAGGGATCTGGACCAAACTTGGCACGAATACTCAATATGCCCAAATGTGAACACTGGTGGAGTCTGGGGAAAATATACCTTGACATTTGGGAATTGTAGTTGTTGGGATTTATAGTTTACCTACAATCAAAGAGCATTCTGAACTCGACCAACAATAGAATTGGGTCAAATTCTCACACAGAATCCCAGTGACCAACAGGAAATACTATCTTTTCTGATGGTCTTTGGCGACCCCTTTGACACCCCCTCACGACCCCCAGGTTGAGAAACACTGGCCTAGAAAGATGTAGGGGTGCCCCAAGTTCCTCCCTGGGCTTGCCATTGGAAGGCAGGGCTCTGGGGAGCAGTTGTGGGAGTGGGGGATTCATAGGGTCACTTGGATCATCCTGGAGACCAAGGTTCTCCTCTTATCCTTCTCTTCTTCAGGCTAAACATACCCAGCTCCTTAAGCCACTCTTCATAGGGCTTGTTCTCCAGACCCTTGATCATTTGAGTCGCCCTCCTCTGGACACATTCCAGCTTGTCAATATCTCTCTGCAATTGTGGTGCCCAGAATTGGACACAATATTCCAGGTGTGGTCTAACCAAAGCAGAATAGAGGGGTAATGAAGCAATCCTGAGAAGGAAGCAACAGCCTTTTGAGAGCAGGAAGAAGCCAAGTGAGACATGAGAAGAGGGTAACAAGGCCCACACAGCAGCCAAGAGACAGGTGGTGGAGCTCAACGGCGGGACGACCTCCTCCGTGTTGCCAGGAGCTGCCAAAGGCTGGTTGGCAACAAAGGGAGGGTGCCCCTTCTGCCCATC